CAGTCTAAGGGGAAACAGGTTGGTTCTCCTAACTAAATATTGCATGTGTTATATTTTCTGGCAGAACAACCGTTGAAAAAACCACTGAATTAAGGTGCTATAAATATTTGTGTGCAAAAGGTACATATAAATTTGTGTTTTGTGTGAACAAAGTTTTTTCTTAATTATCTGGGATAAATACCCCAAAGTGCAATTGCTGGTTGTATGTTGAGTTGCATGTTTGCTTTTAAAGCAAATGCCAAACCGTTTTCCAGGGTGGCTACCATTTCTCATTGCCCCCCAGCAGTGCATGGGTGATCTTTGGCCTCACCCGCTTTTTGTGTTATGACTATTCTTTTTATTTTAGTTATTTTGGCAGGTGTGTAGAAATATCACATTGTGCTTTTAATTTGCGTTCCTCTAGTGGCTAATAATGTTGAAAAGTTTTATATATGGTTATTTGCCATCTGTGATCTTCTTCAGTGAAATGTTTATTTGTGTATTTTGTCCATTTTCTAATTGGACTTCTTTATTATTCAGTTTTATAAGTCCTCTATATAGTCTATAGACTAATTCTATGCCTAATTTATGGCTTGCAAATATTTTCTCTCAGTGTATATCTTTTCTTTCTATTGGCTTTATAGGGTCTTTCAGGAAGAAAAAGTTATAATTTCTGTGAAGTCTAATTTATCAATTTTTCTTTTCATAGATTGTGCTATTGGTGTCAAGGCTAAGACCTCAGCCTAGACTTAAATCCCAAAGACTTTGTTTGATATTTTTATTTCTAATGACTTTGTACTTTTACATTCATTGTGTAAATGATATGAGGTTTTGCTTGAGATTTTTTTGTCTACTTGTTTGCTTTTATCTATTGATGTACAATTGGTCTAGCATCATTTATTGAAAAGACTATTCCTCCTGCATTGAATTGCTTTTGGGCCTTGGTCAAAAATCAGCTTGGCATGTTTGTGTGGGCCTGTTCTCGGGTTCTCTATTCTGTTTTATTTATGCACATGTCTATCCATCCAGCAATATGACACGATCATGATTACTGTAGCTATATTGTAAACCTTAATATCAAGTAGAGGGATTCTTTTCATTTTATTCTTCTTTTTCAAGTGTGTTTTTAGCTATTCTATATATTATGCCTTTCCATATAAATTTTAAAATAAGCTTGTCTATGTTCACAAGAAATCTCGCTGGGATTTTGACAAGAATTATAATTATATTAAATATAGAGATCAATTTGGAGAGAACTGCATATTTACCCAGTGTGTCTTCTAACCCATGAACATATTATGTCTCATCATGTATTTAGGTCTTCTTTGATTTCTTTATTAGGATTTTGTAATTTTCAGCATTCAAATCCTTTATGTGTTTTGTTAAGCATATACAAAGTATTTAATTTTCTTTAGCATGATTGTAAATAGTTTTGTGTTTTTCATTTTGGCTTCTACATATTCTGTGTTACTATGTAAAAATATTTTTCTTTTGACCTATCTGTCATTAAATGTGAAATGAGTTTCTTCTCAGTTCAAATACCACATTGGCTTGTGAATGTTTTAGTGTGTTTTCTTGTTGTTAATCCTCAGCAAGGAGATTCTTTTTTCCATTGATTTTTTAGAGAGAGTGGAAAGGAGGAGAGAGAGAGAGAGAGAGAGAGAGAGAGAGAGAGAGAGAGAGAGAGAGGGAGAACATTGATGTGAGAGACACATCAATTGGTTGCTTCTGATATGAGACCCAAACGGGGGCCAAAGATCAAACCTACAACCCAGGTATACACCCTTGATTGGGAATCAAACCTGAGACCCATCTGTGTGCAGGCTAGTGCTCTAACCGCTGAACACACTTGCAAGGGCTTTTTTCTTCTTCTTCTTTTTTTAAGTTCACTCTACCAGTCTGCCTTTTTAATTGGTCTATTTATACTAATTTACATTTATATTTTTAAAATATATTTGAGGTTATGTGATCTTATTATTTGTTTTCTGGTTTTCCTCTGTTTCTTTTTTCTCAACTTTTTGTGGGTTACTGGAACATTTCTTTAAATTTTCATGTTAGTTTTCTTTTAGTTTGCTTGAATATATCACTGTATAAAAAGTTGTTGTTCTGGATATTAAAATATGCATATGTGGCTTATCACAGTCTATTGGTTTCAACATTTTGCCACTTTGAGTGAAGTATGGAAACCTTACCTCTATTTCAGTCTCTTTGCCTTCCATAATTTTTAATATTATTGCTCTGAGTATCAGATATTGTTATGACTTTTTGTTTCAGTCATCAAATATGATTGTAAAAGCTCATGAAAAGATAATCTATCATATTTACCCCTACTTTTTAAAAAAATATATTTTGATATTTTACTTCCCTTTTTGAAATTCCAAGTTGTCCTCTGTTATCTTTTCCTTTTTTGTGTGAAAAAGCCTCCCTTTTCCATTCATTAAGGCTATGCTCATTAGCAACAAATACTCTTAGCTTTTCTGAACATATCACTATTTCTTCTGTGTTTCTTGAAAGATCACTATTTTGGATATAGAATTTAGTGTTTTGAGTGTTTTTCTTTCAGCACCTGAAAAATGTCATGCCATTTACTCTGGCATTTATGGTTTCAAATGAGATATCTGCTGTCATCAGAATTAGTGCTCCTCTATAGGAAATATGTTACTGTTTTTCCTAGCTGCTTTCCAAAGTTTTGTGTGTATGTGTGTGTGTTCAGCTTTCAGAATGTGATTATAGTCGTTCCTCTCTATTTGTGGCTTCACTTTCTAAGGTTTCAGTTACTCACAGTCAACCACTATCCAACAATATTAAATGAAAAAATCCACAAATAAATAATTCACAAGTTTTAAATTGTATGCTGCTCTGAGTAGTGTCATGAAATCTCCCACCATCCTGGTCTATCCCACCTGCAATGTGAATCATCGATTTGTCCAGCATATCTATGCTATACATTTGACCCACCTATTAATCATTCAGTAGCCATTTGGGTTATCAAGATTGCCTGTCATGGTATTGTAGGACAGGTAACCCTTATTTGACTTAATAATGGCCCCAAAGCACAAGAGTAAGTGGTGCTGGCAGTTTGAATATGTCAACAGAAGCTGTAAAGTGCTTAATTTAAGTGGAAAGGTGAAAGTTACCCACTCAGGAATGAAAGGGAAAAAATCATATGCTGAGGTTGCTAAGACCTATAGTAATAGCGAATCTTCTGTGAAATTGCCTAATTTATAAATGAAACTTAGGTATGTGTGCATAGAAAGAAGCATAGTTAAACATAAGGTTTGGTAATATTTGCCGTTTCAGGCCCACATGGGATCTTGGAATGCATCCCCCACAAATTAGGGAGGCAACCGTATGTGTTTTGACATGGGTTTCCCTGCAATTATCCTGGTAGCGTTTGCTCAGTCTCTTGGAACTTAGGTTGTGTCTTTCACTAAATTTGGGAAAACTTCAGTCATCATTTCTTCATTACTCTTTCCCCCTGCTTCTGGGGCTTTAATGACACAAATGTATTAGGAATGACCTACGTGTCCTTGAGACTATTCAGTCCCCCCACCCCTCCCCAGTCTAATATCTCTCTGTTGTTTACATTAGTGCCTTTTATTGCTTTATCCTCAGCTCACTGATTCTATCCGCCGCCACCTCCATTCTACTATTGAACCCATTAGGAAGCTTTAAAAAGTTAAACCGTGGCCAGTGTGCCTTAATGACTGAGTGTCATACCAAGCACAGAGAGGTTTGCCAGTTCAGTTCCCAGTCAGGGGCACATGCCTGGGCTCGATTCCCAGTAGCGGGTGTGCAGGAAACAGCCCGTGGATGTTTCTCTCATTTATGTTTCTCTCTCCCATCCTCTCCTTATAAAATCAATAAAAGCATATTTTTGAAAAAGTATTTTTCAGTTCTATAATTTTCATTTAGATCCTTTTTATATATTTTATTTGCTGAAGTTTTTATTTTACTTGTTTCAAAACAAAGCGTGCTTGTTGAACTATGATGGCTGCTTTAAAATCCTTCTCACATTATTCCAACATCTGATTCATTTCAATGTTAGTTTCAGTTAATTGCCTTTTTCCCTGATATGCATATCTTCAAATTGTGAACCCTAACTAGTTGATATCTATTTCGGAACTCTATTGTAGCCAGTTCTTTGAATCCTCTGGCCCAGTAGAGTGCTGGCTTCCTGGGACTGCTCTCTTCTTTTTTGTGTGGGTTTTTTGACATTGTTGTTAATCCTCACCCAAGGATATTTTCCCATTGATTTTTAGAGAGAGTGGAAGGGAGGGGGAGAGACAGAGAGAGAGAGAGAGAAACATCAATGTGAGAGAAACACATTGACTGGTTGCCTCTTGCACACACCCTGCCAGGGCCAGGGATTGAGACTGCAATCCAGGTACATGCCCTTGACTGAAATCAAACCCATGGTGGATGCTTTATCCACCGAGCAAACTGGCTAGGGCTATAGTGCTCTTCTGAAGGTAAAGTATTTTATGCTAGCTTGTGAGGTATAAGACTCATTTTGGGCGTGAGAGCTGTGGTTTCATATTTTTCATTTAATTGTGCTTTTCTGGGATTTAAAGGCTTTAACTTTGGGGTACAGTATATATTTTTCCACCCCAATTTTTCCTGGTGTGTGTGTGTGTGTGTGTGTGTGTGTGTGTCTTGCCTCCAAAAGCATCTTTATTTGTGCCCTGTTTTTTTTTGAATAAGGTTTTTGTGATGATCAAATGAGACATTGTTGAAAGAAAAGGGATGAGTGTGATAGCTGCTTAATGTCCCTGTGTTTAGAGGGCACCCTTATCCCTCTGACATGGAACCTGTCTAAACCACAGGGAAGCCACTGGGAGGAAGGTCCTGCAGTCTCTTAAAACAGAAATCTTAGCACGGCTAAGCCCGCAGAGGCGAGTGCCTGTGAATCTGGGACCCCCTCCCCTCCTCTGGCCCTGGGCTCAGGGTACAGGCACTCTCAGGTGTGGGGGACGCCAGAGGGAAGGCTGGGGGAGGGGTGGGCATGCATCTGTGCTGGACCAGCCCCCCACAAGGACCGTCCCCCCTCTGCTTAGCCTGCAAGTGGAGTCTCCCAGCCTGCGCCCCCAGGTTTAACCGGAGCATTTTGGGAGCATTTCTCTCGGAACCTCGGAGCGAGCTGGTGCTGCTGCGCTCCTGTTGCAGCTTCAGGTAAGCGATGGGTGACGCATCTGCAAATACCGCCATTGCCCGCCGCCTGGGTCCGGAATGAATTTGCCCGCTGGCATCTTGCTCTTTAAGTATTCTATTTAAAAAAACAGACTGACAAACAAATAGTTCTTAGCTAATGTTTCTAGTGGCGTCATTCCATTCCTGAAAGACAAATATCCTAGCTATTTTTCAGGAGACTTCCCCTTGAAAAATGCATTGCGTCATTTGTTGCTTTTTGCAGATGAGCAAGGGATTGCTAAACGCCCCTCTAGAAGGGGGCGGATGTGGGTTTATGTGGCAGTAACACGTAGTGCAAAATATATTTTTTAAAGATCATGGCAGATATTTAGGCTGCATGCCAGGATTTCTACAAGACAGCGGAGCAGATACCGATCAAACCTTCCCACACGCAGATGCTCTGCGTTCTGTTACTTAACCCTCAGGAGCCTTCAGAGAAGTGGCTGCCTTTTGGTCCATTTTGCAGATGGAAACACGTATAAAGGTCACAAAGCCTGTAGGTGACAGAGCCTGTTAGCTAAAGGCAGATGTTTGTTTCTGGTTCCCTGGGATAGGTCTCTTCTTAAGATAAAAGAGTTTTCTGCAAACATTGGAGGTGTAAGACTCATTCTCAGTGTAAGAGCTGTCTTTTAACAGTGTCATCATTCTGTTGGGTTATCTTTTACTTTGGCCTCGCTGGCATGTAACGGCTTAACTTTGGGGTATATATTTTTATACCCCAAATTTTTCTCTGTGTGTGCGCGCGGGGCACTGGGGTGGGGGGTAGAAGGGACAGTTGTGGAGTGGGGGGATGGACTGAGGGGTATGAACTAGCGGGCACGTCCTCCGCGGGTACCTTCCCTGGATGGCACGAGTGGGCAGTGGGTACCAATTGGCACCATGAACCAGGCATCCTAGCTCCTGAGGTTTCAGTTCATTTTATTTTTATTTTTATTTTTATTTAAAAAAATATATTTTATTGATTTTTACAGAGAGGAAGAGAGAGGGATAGAGAGTTAGAAACTCGATGAGAGAGAATCATCGATCAGCTGCCTCTTGCACACCCCCCACTGGGGATGTGCCTGCAACCAAGGTACATGCCCTGACCAGAATTGAACCCGCGATCCTTCACTCTGCAGGCCGATGCTCTATCCACTGAGCCAAACCGGTTTTGGCTCAGTTGTTAATTTTAAACAGTAGCCACCTGGCACAGCGTCCTTGGCTCCGCCTAAGAGGAGGGAGGATGTGTGGGGTTGGGGAGCCAACTGAGAGACCCTCCCCATCGCCCCCAGGCAGGTTGTAAGTCCAGGTTACAAGCCCCATCTCTCTCCCTTTCTCCCTCCCTAGGCTCCGCCCGCTCCGTGCCACCTAAGCTGTGCGCTCGCCTCCGTGCCAGTTCCCCACAATGGGCAACTCCTGCTCCGGCCTCAAGGAGAAGCTGGGGCAGAGGGTGCGGCCTTCGCCCACGCTGAGCTTCCTCCGCTCCGTGCTGTTCCCCAAGAAGAAGAAGGATTTCTGCGTGGTGGTCCTGGGCTCTGCCGGCGTGGGCAAGAGCGCGCTGGTGCAGCGGTGGGTGAACAGCTGCTTCTCGGAGAAGTACGAGCCGCCCGCGCCCCTGTCGGATGTCATCTACCACGTGCCCGACGGCCTGTTCGGCTCGGGGACCAAGATGCGCATCACCGACCTCCCGGGGGGCCAGCTGTACCCGGCGCTGCAGTGCCTCAAGATTGCCAGGGGCCACGCCTTCATCCTGGTCTACTCGGTCACCGAGAAGCAAACCCTGGAGGAGCTGACGCCCTTCTACATGCTCATCCGCGAGATCAAAGGCTCCAACCTGCACAAGTACCCGGTGGTGCTGGTGGGCAACAAATGCGACGAGGCCCGCCGCGAGCTCACCACGCTAGATGGCGCTGCCTACGCGCTCAAGTGGAATTGCGGCTTCTTCGAGACCTCGGCCAAGAGGAACATCAACGTGGAGGAGCTGTTTTTCGAGCTGCTGACCCATGAGAGGGGGGCAGAGACCAGCCCCCAGGCCACCCCCGAGAAATCCCAGATGCCCGATGCCGCCGCGGAGGACAGGCTGGCAGCTGCCACGTAAGGGGAGCCCCGGGTGCTAGGAGCCTCAACACCTTCTCCCTCCGACCAGTGTGTAGAGAAACGTGGGCCGATGAATGTTAGGTGTCACCTGTACATGAGTGTGCTGTGGGTTGGGTTGTTAACAGTCAGACATCAGTATGGGTCCCCTGTACATTCATAATTTTTTCTCTCTTTTTTTTCCCCCCAGGCAAGAGACTTCACGTTGTTACATCGTTGGTATTGCAGGAGGGGGAAAATAGGAGACTTAAGTCTTGACAGACTTCAGAGAAAACGGTTTAGAAAAGAGAATGGAATAGCAAAATACACGGAAAGAGACCATGCGGCCATCCTTGTCACGCTGTTACCATATATTCATTTTTAAACGTTTCAAGTCCTGTAAATGCCCAATCAGACCTTTCTGTTGTGTGCGTAATTGTTAAGAAATTGTGTTTTTGCAACAAAAGCTTTGCTAGATGACTGGGAGAAAGAGATCTACTTAAACGAGATAAATGAATATTTTGAGTATTGAGGGTGGGGGGCAGAGAAAATTTTGAAAGCGGAGACTGGGAGGAGAGGTGGGAAGGAGGGAAATGAGATATCTGTAATTCTATCAACAATAAAAAATCTAAAAAATTAATTAATTAATTAATTAATTAATAAAGAAAGAAAGAAAGATGTGCCAGCTTCCTGAGTCATTTAAAAATGTTTGTTTGGGTAGTCCACATTGTGGTTTTAAAAAAGCATAATGGTTCCATGACTTAAATCTTTTCCTGCATACGATCACCTGTGATAATTATTTTCCACTGGACCACAACAGCACAATTACATAAGAGCATTAAGATTTCAGCCCTAGCTGCTTTGCTCTGTGGATATAACGTCAGCCCGTGGACTGAAGGGTTTGATTCTGGTCAGGCCACATGCCCGGGTTGTGTGGGCTTGATCCTCAGTAGGGGAGTGCAGGAGTCAGCCGAACAATTATTATCTCTCATCATTGATGTTTCTCTCCCTTCTGAAATCAATAAAAATATATATTAAAATAATAAAAAGTCAATGTCACCGGGGGTGGGGGGAGGGGGAGACGGCATATTTTCAACCACATCTGGTGAAGGTTTTTGATAAGACTTGCTCACATGGACACTCTTGAAATTAGCCAGTGTGGGGAGCGGGAGGGAGGGCCACGGCCATGCAGAGCTGGTGTATAACCACAATCTTCTGGGCTGACATCTGGAAGAACTCCAGGGGTCTTTGAAGAAGAGGCTCACTCTGGTGCTGTCTTAGTGGTACTGGTGAAAAGCAAACCTCAGCATATGGCTGCCTCAAAAATGTTCCCTCAAGACATACTGGATCCCTAGGTTTGGCTCAGTGGATAAGAGCGTTGGCCTGCAAACTGAAGGGTCCGGGGTTTATTCTAGTCGAGGGCACAGGCCGGGGTTACGGGCTCCATCCCCAGTGGGAGGCGTGCAGGGGGGCGGCTATTCAATGATTCTCTATCATCTTTGATGTTTCTGTTTCTCTTTCCCCTCTCCCTTCCTCTGAAACCAATAAAAATATGTGTGTGTGTTTAAAAGAAATACTGGATAAAGGGGGATGGAAGGTAAGGGGAGAAATGGCAGGGATTTGAAATTTGAGAAAGTCCTTCCTAAGGCAAGTTTTAAAAAAGATTAATTTTATATTTGAACATGATTTTTGAGAGAGAGAGAGAGAGAGAGAAAGAGAGAGAGAGAGAGAGAGAGAGAGAGAGAGAGAGAGAGAGAGGACATATCTATACATGTCCTTGCTTTCTAATGTTCTTGTTTGTTTGTTTTCTCCAATTTGGGGAAGAAAAGGAAGGCTCTCAATCTGGTGATTCCTCCCCTCCCCCTCTGGCCCCTGCCAAAAAATATTGAGCCAAATACTGAATAATTTACGTGTTTTTTAAAATATATTTTATTGATTTTTTACAGAGAGGAAGAGAGAGGGAGAGAGAGTTAGAAACATCCATGAGAGAGAATCATCGATCAGCTGCCTCTTGCACACCCTCTACTGGGTATGTGCTGGCAACCAAGGTACATGCCCTTGACCAGAATCGAACCTGGGACCTTTAAGTCTGCAGACCGACGCTCTATCCACTGAGCCAAACCGGTTTCGGCAATTTATGTGTTTTTAAAAAAATGATTTCATATAGCATAATTTTCAGGGAACATGCACACTGTTGAGAAGGAACCATAAACATCTATTTCATAATAGTATAAGTTTTGAGCTTAGAAAATCCATTCAGTAGCTCACTTTAAACAGTCAATTATTTAAGATTTTCCTTATTTACGTTCAAAGCAATTATTCTCAACCACTAGGAAATACCTAAGTGGTCTTACCATATTGCTCTTTATATACTCTAAAAAATAATTCTTAGCTAAAGTTCCTAGTGGAGTTATTTCATTTCTAAAAGAAAAATAGTCTATCAGCTGTTTTCAAGGAGAATTACCCTTGAACATGTATTGCATTAGCTTTAAAAATCCATTTAATGGCTCATTTTAAACAGTCATATTTTTTAAGATTTCCATTTTTCACTTTTGAAGCAATTATTTTCAACAACTAGAAAATACCTAAGTGTTCTTATTATATTGCTTTTTAAGTATTCTACTTTTAAAAAATAGTTCTTAGCTGAAGTTTCTAGTGTAGTTACTCTGCTTCTTAAAGGAAAATACTCGATCCTGGCTAGTTTTCAGAATTCTCCATGAAAAATGTATTGCATTCATTATTGCTTCTTGCGGATGAACAAGGGATTACTAAGTGGCAAATACTACCCTTTAGAAAGGGGAGGACGTGCTTCTTATATTGCAGTAAATACATAGCATAAAATATTTTAAGGTTATAGCCAATATTTATAAGTAATAGCCAATAATAGCTACATGCTAGTGTTTCTACATCACATAGGAGCAAATACTGATCAATCCTTTTCACATGCCAATGTTCTGCACTGTATTATTTTAACCCTCACGATAATTCAATGAAGTGGCTACTGTTTTGCCCATCTTGCAGATGGAAACACTGAGAAAGATCACAAACCAGTAAGTGGCAGAGCCGATTGTTGGAGCCAGATACTCTGCTCCAGAGTCAGTGCTCTTCAGCACGGGGGTGCGCTTTCTCCCCAAGATGACTAGTCAAAGGACAAGTGGCTGACTTTTCCGTTCCCAGTATTACACCTGAGTGGGAAAGAAAGTGTCTGCAGAGCCTCTCTGGAATCCAAGTGGGAGGTTAAGAAGCAAATCAACCATTACAACATGGGTGGGATGGGGAGTGTTAGAAACTGGGGAGAGAAGCACTTTATGGGGCATTGGAGAACATTTCCCCGCAGAGATTGCATGTCTGGAATCTTTTATGCCCACTGGGAATTGGTTTAGCTGGAGTTGGTATGGGTGGGGGAAGGAGAGGATGACATGGTCAGGGGAACAGAACAATATGAAAAAAAGGTCTGGACAAAATGTGGGGTCAAAGAGATAACAGTATGTTTCCATAAGTGTATGGAGCAAACTGTGGCAGAAGAGCCTGAGAAGTCAGAGTTTAGAATTCACCCTTTAGAAGTAATGGGGACTCACTAGGGATTGAAATGGATTTTATCAGACTTTCATTAAAGCAAGACCACTCTGGAGACTCTGTAAGAGGTACTGAAACGAGGCAGGTAGACAAATTTAAAAAATATTAGAACAATGTTTTGATTGAACAATCTAGGCATTGCCAGGAGGAATGGAGACAAAGGGATGGATCTGAGAACGATTTAGAAGGGAAAATGGCCAGAGTGTGGTGGTGTGTTACAAGAGAGTTTGGAAGAGAAGACGAAACTAACAGAGATGACTCGTGTTTGAGTGGCCATTAGCCAAATTCAGTAAGGCAGAAAGAAGAACCAATTTGGAGGAACATCTATTTGCCTATGCACATGAGAAGAACAAGTTACCTGTTGGGTGACAGTTGCCGGGATAGCCAGGTCGACGTTTCCAATGGGAACTAGACTGGGATTAGGGACTGGAAACAGATTTGTGAGTTTTCAGCACACAGCTGGTGGTAAGGTGGTGAAGGGAGGGAGGCAAGAGGAGGCATGATCAAAAGGCTTAGCTGGGACGGAGTCCTGGGCAACACCACCACTTGGAAAGCTACTGACCCAGAGGAAGCTGAAGGACATGTAGAAGTCACCAAAAGATAGGAGGAAACACATAATGGGCAGTAATAAATGCTGGGGGAGAACTAGTTTCAAGAAGAATGTACACTATCCTAGGGGAAAAAATTTAACAAGATAAGCATTAGAAAGTGTTGCTTAGATTTAGTATTTAGGGGACTTCAGGTTCCAACCAAGACAAAGTAGCCCCATTTCTCCCAGCACTCCTCTTACAGATGAAATGACCCTGGACCTAACACAACAAAGGAGCAAAGGAAAACACTTCACAGTGGACAGAGTGGACACCTAGGGACCTTGGGAGGCAAGGAATGACATGACGGTGATGTCCCTGAGTCTCCTTATCGTCTCCCACACACTCTGCAGAAACCTTTAGGTTCCAACTGCCAACAGGCACAGACTATTTCCCCTAGCTAACCACTCAGGAAAAGGGTGGTTTGTTTATTTATTTGTTTACTAGAGGCCCGGTGCATTTAATATGTGCACATGGGGTGGGGGCGTGTCCCTCAGTGCAGCCTGTGCCCTCTTGCAGTCTGGGACCCTTCGCTCTTTACTGCCCACCTGCTCACTGCTCCTTACCGCTCAGCTTGCTGCTCCTTAGCACTGCCTTGGAGGCGGAAGAGGCTCCTGCCACCACCACTGTGCTCACCAGCTATGAGCCCAGCTTCATAGTGGCGCTCCCCCTGTGGGAGTGCACTGACCACCAGGGGGCAGCTCCTGCATTAAGTGTCTGCCCCCTGGTGGTCAGTGTGCATCATAGTGACAGGTCATTTTGGTTGTTCTGCCATAATAGTCACTTAGGCTTTTATTATATAGATTTATTAATCCTCACCAAAGGATATTTTTCCATTGATTTTTGGGGAGATTGGAAGAGAGAGGTAAAGACAGAGAGACATCAAAGTGAGAG